CCAGAATCCTCAGCTATCCTAGCCTGCAACCAAAGCTGGAGTGGCTGTCTGAGCCTGGCCCTACTTTCTGACCAAAGCTGGTCCATAGGAGGGAACACAGTCAAGGCTTGCCTCTCTGCAGATAGATGCAAGCTGCTTATTCTATCAGAAGTGGCTGTTGGTTTAGAGTATAAGAACCGTGACTGAGGATTCAGAAACATTTTCTGCTCTTGGTTATGGAGCTGAAACCATAGGGATAGGCAGAAAAGAAAGCAAAACAAAAACTAGAGAAAGAGGCTTTTTCTTCTGCCAGTATTAGTGCAGATTATGAGAAGTCAGGGATCAAATGCAACATGGCATAAAAAAGTGTCACACAGGTGCTGTGACCATATGTGTCTGTCATGGTCTGTAAAAGCCAACTAATTGGGCCCCAGTGGGCACAGTCCCCCTCCGAGCCTCAGGGAAATGCAGAAACAGAAGAGAAAGAAGAATACACTCCTGTCCTTGAAAGTATTAGAGGTGCCAGACCAAGGCGGATAATTGTACTGTTTTTAATGTGCTGATGGCTGTAAATAGCAGATCTCCCTCACACTTCAGTTTTTAATTTTTGTTTTCCCTTCATAAGTGCTTGCCAGTGCCTGGTTTGATCACGTTTCAGGCTGGTACAGTCATGCGAAGGAATTCAATATACTCTTCCTGACCTACGAGGAGATGAAAAAGGTGAGGTCCATTGTGTTACCATTCCAGATATTTCCTTCCTATATAGAGTGCATTTTCAGACAGGTCTTCAGATTTATCAATTATTATAGAGTATACTCAGCCCTCATGGAAAACAAACCAATTGAGACTTACAAGAGTCATGTCATTTTTTTTCTCACTGGTGCAAGGCCTTAGGAAGAATTATTAGATAAATCACTTTTTCGTATAATGGGAGTCATCTTCTCTTGCACCCCAAAATGCCTCTCTGGAATAAAGGAAAGAACTACCTAAGATGCAGGCACTGAGGTACTTGAGGACATCCCAAATTTCAGACTAGAAGGTTACTGCTTGGAGGCTGCCCATGCTTTTGGGCAATTTCTCCTTTCTCCGTGGTGGCAGCACTTCTGATGGAGAAGTCATAGCCCCAGTGTGCAGCCCACATTGCCTGCCACCGTGACTGTCCCTCAAGCTTTAGGAACCGGGCTGACTCATGAGAGAGGTTAGCCTTTAGCTAGGACAACGGGACTGACAAAAACTCCACTGGGTGAGCATCTTCCTTCATGGTGACAGGGGAGGCTTTGTCAGGGCACCTTGTGCAAGACGCAGAGAGGTGAGTAGAGCTGTCAGTCTCTGGCAGCAAGTTACAGCATCCTTGCTCTCAAGAGGGCAAAAGGTGCAAGCCAGACTATGATATTGTAAAAAATGATGGACAACTTTGGACTCAAACTGATGATGTCCTTAGCAATCCTGTATTCCACTGTTTCATGCATTTAGTTTTCACATCATCAAGATGCATCAAGTTTAAATTTTTGCAGGATCTCAGAAGCACTGTGCTGAAAATCTGCAACTTCATAGGCAAGAAGCTGAGCGAAGAGGAAATAGAAAGCGTTGTGAGACAGGCTACGTTTGAGAACATGCAAAAAGACCCCAGGGCAAACTATGAGAACATGCCAGATGACATCATGATCAAGGGAAAGGGCAGATTTCTACGGAAAGGTAAAACAGAAGCAGTTTTACCTGCTGCGACACCCACTTAATTCCTCCTCTTGGTGTAAAATGAACATAGGATTTATAGCCTGGGATTGCCCCAATCTC